CCGTAGTTGGACCCATTAGTAAAGGAATAGCGCCCTCAAGTGCTTGTGCGTTGACAGCAACAAGGCTGACTAATACTACTCTGACATCCTTACAGCATGAAAGTAGCTGTTTAAGGCCACTGCATGCCACAGTGATTTGGCAGGGCCCTGTCTGTCCCCATCACAGACATTGAAATCCATAGATGGGCAGCTCCTTTTCAAAACAATAGCTAAGACAGCACCTGACTAAATCCAAAAGCTTGGGCAAATTCACCCCTCGGTAGAGGGAACTGACGCACAGTTGAAGAATTCCGGCCATAGAATTCTATGAAGCCATGTTTTGACTGTGAAAAAAAATCCTGTTTACTTAATATGGCTCATGTAGATTCAAAACGATGTGTTTCCAACATTTAAGAGCAAAAACCTGAATGTATTTTGGGAGCACATGTAAACAAATGTAGGCAAAGTGCGCCATGCGCAATTCCCACTGAACGCATTGCCATCCATCTTTTCGCCCATTGCAGTTATACGTGCAAGACTGGTCGTCTAGGGTTTATATGTCTGTGGACCCCACTTAGTAAAACAAATAGCGCCCTCAAGTGCCTGTGCACGGCGGGAACTACTTCGGCACGCCGACGGCCTGGCGGTGATTGCGCATGGCCATGGCATGCCAGTCTAGTTGCTCGATGATCTTCTTGGCTCCTTTCTCCATGTGGGGGTCGAGCGGTTCACCGTCTTCTGAGATGGCTGCATTGGCTTTGGGGATACCAAAGATGTTGGAGACAGGAAGGCAGCCAATTTCCCCGAGGAAACATCGCAGCTGCATTGCTGCACGCATGCCTCCATAAATACCTGGCCACAGGGGGTAACAAATTCAGGTTTATTATTTTAACACTGCCAAATGATACACATCTCACTTGTGCAGCGTCAGTAGTCAAGATGGATGAATACCTCTTATGACATGATCATTTTTCCACATGTGGCACTGAGATATTAAGCTATACTTCTTCCACATATTTTTAACTGCAAATGTATATCCTCTCTTATAAAAGAAATTATTTTGAAGAAAATTGAAAAAAAAAATCACATTTTTCTAATGTAAATCTGTCTGTATTCTTCAGTGCAGTGGATTTTGTCTGCAATTAGTGAGCAAAGTTTGTTATGACAGAAATTAACCATTGTTACATTAGAATTTTTTTCAGTCATTCGGGGCTGTAGAGATTTCTTGCAGTGCTGCAGTCGAGTCCTTCATGCCTAAGCCCAAGTTCATGCCACCCAAGTTCAACTCCGAGTCCAAGTCCTTACTGTTCGAGTTCAAGTCCTTTTGTCCAAGTACGAGTCCTTGTGTCCATGTATGAGTCCTTGAAAATCTGGACTCGAGTCCTCTAGCACTGATTTATTATAGTGGCTTACCCGGTGAGTAACACACAATGGCTGAGGGTTTGTAGCCAAAAATGGACGTCGGGAAATGGTCCACCATGTTGCTAAGGCCCGGGGGTATTGAATGGTTGTACTCGCCAGAGACAAACACAAAAGCATCGGCATCAATGATCTTCTTTTTGGCCTCTTGCAAAATCTCCGGAGCCTTCGTTTCATCCTGGTAAAAGAATAGGGCCTTTCTCAGGATTGGAAGATCAAATTCCTCCGCATCTGAAATAACACCACCATTTATAACATGATTTATATCATAGAGCTAGCAATTTTTATATCATATGAAGTGGGCATTCCATGTCAAATAAAAGAGATAGCTTCCTGCCTAATGTCTGCATTTTTGAGGAGGTGAGCATTCTTTCTAATACAGCTTTAAAATCTGTTACATCACAGATAGGGTGGAAGCCCACTCTCAGATACAAAAAATCCATCTCCTCTATCCACTATCCAAAATCCACTACACAAAAAGGGTCCTTCCCCTTATTCAAAAACCTCGTCAAAAATTCGCGTCATTTCAACATGTTCAACATTTTGGGGGAAAAAATTCCATGATATAAAGACAACACTTGATGCCCCTGTGCACAAACCTGCGTACGAGACTCATCTGAAAAATCTGAAGTATTTTCTAAGTAAATGCCTCAGAATTTTCTCAGCAAAATTTCACTTATTAGGACACGTAGCTGTTACCACTTTCTGAGTGACGGCTGAATATGTTATATTTTTTATAACATTTAAAAGGAAACTTAGTGTTGTCCGTATACATGGAAATAGGCCTATATCATCATTCCCGTTTTAATGATTAGCAACAACTTGAATAAGTCATCAGTTATTGCTAAAATCATGTTATCAACTGACCTTCACTGAGATCATAACGCATGACAAAACTGTCAAAAGTCGAACTTGCAGCAGAATGCAACATTCATCATGTCATGAATTCTTTTCCATTCTTTCTCTACAGCGCTTGGCCCCTGATGCACTACATGCTAGTACCGGTCGCCGCGCCGTAAATCGTCAGCCATGGCCCATCCTGCATCCCAACCGTGCAGCTCTACCCCCAGAACTGAGGGGTCCACGTCCGCTCCTCTCCCATAAGAGAGCGCTGCGGACGTCGGACACCACAATTCTGGGGGTAGGCTAGTGCAACTCCACTCAGTCAATCCATGGTCCGGTCATGTAGGCTAGACCTAACTCACCCATGAATTCTACGACGTGAGTGTCATCCTTTTTGAGCTGGTTTATCATGAATTTAGCCACCCGTTCGCCAAGACGATTCTCCCTGCATGTTCCCAGGAACAAGACTACCTTCAGAGGATTCAGCTTGTTGGCCATGGCTATAAATTGGAGGATGCTCTACTACTGCTCTGGGCTAACTTGTGACGAGTGTTTCAAAAATCTCGCAGATTAACACGCCCTCTGCGTCTGTTGAGCTGGCTTCTCGATGTGCATACAAGTACATGTACTGTACTGTCAGTATATGTGGTCCTGCCATTATGTGCATGTACTAAGTCGCGACGCTCAGTGAGTGGCGTAAACTGGGCGGGGGGGTGCTCCCGGTGAATTTTTCAAGGGGGAAACCACAACAATATTAACTGCAGTTGCATAACCATATAAACTCAATGGAGATTCTTCGCAGATTTCATATGGGGGAGGGGAACGGGGGGGGGGGGCGCATGGGCATGGAGGCCAGCAATGACGCTATGGGCGACGTTTCGCATAATTAGGGTGTACTTTTTATTCTGGCTCCATCATGATGATGCGCCTAGTACATACAGATGGCGGCGTGGAAGGGGTGAAATTAGGGCTGTTTTCCAATAACTCGACTTCGTCTCCATTGAAGCTTTATATTTTTCTTTTTTTTTAACACCCGACTGCAAAAGCTCAAATTTCCGGTAGTGCCACAAGAACATAAAATGAGATGTAAAGAGCAAAATGTTACAGTACATGTAAACAAATTTCAGTTGAACGCTTCGGAATCGGGTATTGATTCTGGAGACGCGTCCTCACACGGAGACGACATCGAGAAAACAGCCCTGCTGCTGCGCGCCGTTCCCTGACGTCTTTGGCTAAGATCCGTCGGTCGGTCGAGGGAAACGGGGTAAAAGTGCTTTGTCGCCGGAATACGATTGTCATTTTTTCTTAATTCTTTGCTGGCAGGATTTTCCAAATAGGGTCGGTAAAATGAAAAAATCCTTTTTTCTTCTTCGGAGCCAAAAAGGGTCGGTCATTAATTAACTGCGGACGCCCTCAGGCAAAACCAATCTTCAGCGGGTTCATACATGGTGAACACAAATCCTTTCTTCTTCATAGGTCCGACTTCAGTCTTCTTTGGGACAGACCATCCATCTTCAAACGTTACGCAGTGGGGCGGGGCTGGGACCGGGGAGGGGGTCTAGCCTTGCGTTGCATGACTTGACAAAATGTTCACTGTATGAAAGTGACAATCGACTGTCATGATATTGAATTTTTAGTTGCCTTAAGGTTGTTGTTCTGTCACTGTACTGAGTTTTTTGCCAAGTTATCCACCACCATAGTCTGTACAGTCAGTGACATGTGCTCCACCGAGGCCCGTCCTTTTTAATAGCTCCATGGTTCCAACGACTGCACTGGATATAACTTTTATTATAAGAATAGAAGGTTCACTTGTCCCCATCGCCTTGAGAGCAAAGCTATCGTTGGATCGATCACATGCGCATTCGCGGGTAAATTTCCTTTCGATTACCTAGCCCCACACGCACATCGTTCTACGTGTCCTCCTTTTCCGTCTACCGAGTCAACCTCGCCGACGTGTAGGATTTTAGAGAACACTCTCATTACATGTAAATGAGAGCATCCTTTATGTCATCGCGATATTGGGTGGACGCATATTTCACAACTGTCACATGCGTAAATGCACGCGTGAAACGTTGTCTTTGAAGCTGGAAATACTAATCATAAAAGTGCGAGTTGTATGTGATTAGGTTCAAATGAATAGTCATAGCATGCGCATAAAACGCAAACCATGGTAACTGCTCCCGAGCTCAGGCTTGGGTCTTATTTTTACGGTGTGGACGCATGAGGCCTTTCATTTCCAGAAGTGGACTCTCATCATAGTTTGATCATAGTTAGGTAGCATGATAATAAATTTTTCCATTACTGTTGCTTATCTAAATCAAGAGCGTTGGGACTCAGAAGTACGTGCACCTATCGAACGGACACGTGCATGATCTAGCAGGCCTTACACCACAGTAGGAATTACTTTCTCATTCAAAAGCTTTTTTCCAATAATGGATTTACTCTCATCTTTCAGTTGCCAAACAGGTCTGCCATGCAAATTCCAATTCCACATATCCTATATCTGTCAAGGACATTGTGTCGTTTTTTTGTATTCCGCTTACAGTGAAATTTTTCTTTCATTTCCTCCTCTGGTCTTGTCTTTTTCCAACGTCACCTGCATTGCGTTGGTGTGAAACTTTTCAATCTTGTGTCTCGTCACGCATGATCAGCTTTGAATAAGCCGCCCAACTGTTGTGGGACATGGAACAAACTGTGCGCATTGGTAACTGAAAAGAGGTCTTGTTCAAATAGATTTGTAGAAAAAGTATCCTTTACAAAAGACGCAGACGGGAACCATCCATGACCATAGACTGGAGGTCAAAAGACCGGATCTGTTTTGCAGTCTGCAGCTTTTCCCGGGAATGATTCGGTGAAGGAGTTTTTGCAAACGGTGGATGACACAAGTCAGTGTTAGCACTGAACTGAGCCCAAAACGTAGACGATTTGGGCCAACAACACGTAAATTCAGTGACTTACAATTTTGAAGACCAGTATGGAGGTAAGGATATACTTGAAATGATTTTTTCTTTGATCCGTTTACTATGCGTTCTGATCATGATTTTGTTTTTTTTCAGACACATGAATCAAAATTCAAAACAATAAGTTACCGTGCACTGGTGGCTTTTTTTTAAAGCCTATTGCAAAATCTCATTTTGTGAATTGCACACTCCCCATTTGCATTAATCTGGACTTTTCTGTGAAAGAGGAAGTTTATTAAACTTTCATCTGGGGACCAAAAGGGCGATATCTGTTGAAAAATAGCAGTGTCAAATGTAGCGGGAATAATAATGCCTGTGTGTACACGTAGAAGCTGTCACCCCTCATATTAACAGTGTGCAAATCTGATACATCCTTACATTTTAAAAGGTATTTGCGTTCATAAACAATAGCCAATCATTTTACGAGTACAAAAATATGTCAAAACTAAAACCAAATGATTTCATTTCGTTACCCCTGCATTGAAATTGTGGTGTTCTCTGTAGTACCTAAGTTTACTGTATTCTGTTTTGAACTTCAAATTTAAAACTGAAGTAGGCCAGCCATGCGATGTAAAAAAAGAGTAACAAAGGAGCTGAACTGAAATCATCCCGTATTTTGTTAACGTTGTGTTGACGTTAATTAGTACGACCGCGTATTTTGGGTGTACTTGCAACATAAACAGTTCAGCTTCAGTTTGTATGACAACCCTGGACCGTGAGATAAAAAACATGCGGCGGCCGACGAAAATGCATTGATGTGGAAAAACCTACAGCCTGACACATTTATTGTATTCCATGAATCAAACTTTTGTAGAAAGAACGTTAGCTTAGTTGACCCCCCCCCCGATTCTGTCTGAACCTTCTAACTGATGGCTCCTGTATTCATTTTGAAAATCAAAACTCGGATAAACTCTTGAACATCATTGATAAAAGTATTAATATACATTCATTTTCTAGCGCAGAATACCGAAAAGATGATATCTCCACGTAGACCGCAAACTCAAATACCGTAGAATACTTAGGATGTTTCCATCTTAAGGGAATTTTAGTTCGTTCAGTCAGGTTTGTCTAACTGTTTGTATACTTTAATTTGTTTGAACAAAAATGCTGTTAGCCGTGATCGAATAAACTAACTTCAGACTTCTTCTCTGCTGTAACGGCAGGGTAAGAATATGTACATAAAGAACTTGAAAATAATGTGACTTGCACAACATGACCCATTTGTGTTTTCAGAGGCGACAAGTACCAGCACAATTTCACTTCCGCGTCATGGAACCGCTTCATCCTCCACCTCGCCAGAATGTCGACAGAGGGCGCTACGGCCCAGCCGGGCTACACAAGTATCGCCAAGGAAATACCCCAAACGGCTTCGAGAACAGTGGTGTTGGCAGGGCAATGGGTGGGGGGCTGGGGTATAGCAGCGGCCCCGGGGTTGCTGGGGGTGGCCCCGTCAAATTCGTTCGGAACCCCAAATTTCCGAAGAGCTTGTACGATGTGGAGATGAGCCTGAGACAGGTTATCAAGGACAAGCCGGTCAAGATCACTCCCGGCATGTCATTCCCAGATCCTAAATCCAGAAAGTCCATCAGCAACCCGAAGGCTCCCCGGGTTGAATACGAGTTCGAACCGTCTCGAGACGACTATAACTTCATTTACAACCCCCTAGCAGGTGCTAATGCCCCTGGTGACGACACTGGCGGTGTGGTGAAGGAGCGGTACATCGACGCCGTGGGTTACGACAGCAGCGACGATAGTGACGATAACGACGAGTTTGACTGGCGAGTCCAGGACTACGACAGCCAGTCGACCAATTCTGATGGCGATGACAGTGACGGTGGCACGGAGGTAGCATTACCACATGAGGACGACAGGGAAGCGCTGTACGCACACGCCAGGCCAAAGGCCCACCGCGTCCGGCAGGCGCAAGGGATGGAGACCCAGCCGCCGGCATTTGAGCCTCAGCCCCCACCGCCCCGAGCTCCCGTGGACCCGATTTTGGTGATTCCTCGTGCGGTGGTACGAGAGGAAGAATCTTATCGCGAGCACCGACACCGGAACGGGAGCAAGAACGGGCTGGGACCCACACCTGATGATAACAACAATGTTGGTGAATAAACTGACGATAGTTTTGTCACCATTTCGTGAATGGGGTTTTTGCCTGGCTTGATTATTAATATCCAGTAAAAGGTCTCGTGTACTTAGACAAATCAAAAGAAGCTCGATTTGACGCCGTCGTAGACCCTACTATAGATAACATTCTATGTTGCAATTTAATGCAAGCTAGGTTTTTTTAAATATTAATTCCTTCATTACCCAGAGAGATGGGGGGAGTGGAATCCACCCCTAAACATTTTTCCCGATATTATCGCAGTGCATTTTTTCACGAGTGAAGTTTTTAGGATTGTAACTCTTTGCGGTCATTTTGACACCAAACAGACATACTGTTTTCGCGCTGTGCGCATTTTTCGGAGACGAATCAAGCTAATTTGTATCGGTGTTTAGTGCACGTTGGCTGGCATACATGTAGCCTTGAATTTCAAATGACCACCACCAAAAAAAAAATGTTTGATTGAATTCAAACGTCACATTTATAATTATAAGGAGTTATATGTTAAATATTATAAAGTTTCAAAAAAATCGAGCGATTCATCACAGCTGGGTTCTTAGGGAAGTGCGGAATCACCCCCCAGTTGTGAGATGCATTTGTCCAAAATATTTCGGCTCTTTTAGGGTAAAAGACAGTGTTGACTTACGTTAATATTGACGTTGTGCTGTGTCCGACAATGGTGTTGGTTATAAAGAAAAAAGAATGAAAAAGGTTCTAAAAACTGAAGAAAAAGCATCAACACTAAGTATAGAAAGTAGATATTAAAGTTACAAATTGCATTTAAAATTTACAAAAAATACGTTATTTGTAAAGAGGATCGCTGTGGTGTTTGTTGTTAATAAAGGAAGTACTGTTTATTAAAATAAGAAAATACCTCGTCAGATTTACATTGAAGTGGCTGTGAACAAACAACCGTATTAAACAATACCGTAATGCTAGAAAAACATCAAAAGTCATGAATGCAAATCGAAATCAATTTACTTCCTGGAAAGGGAATTGCAAATTTCAAACTGTTAAAAAAGGAGGAGTGAAATTATTCAGTTTATTTACCATAGGCATACAATGCAAGAATAAAAAACTTACATTCTTGGATCACTGTCAGAACTATACCTGTTTAGACTAAGCTCCAAATCTCACTTGCTGTACTAGTTAAAGAATTTTTAACCAGATTAAATGATCAGTAGGGAGTTTAGATGATTGGACCTATCTCCTACGTTTTCTGCATTACTTCGCAACTTATGCTGGGTTGCACACCATTTTGTCTTTCGAGCGAAAACTGATGAACGATAGAGTTGTAGAAAAAAGTTAAGTCATGTCCCAAAGTTTGTGCTGTGGCTGAATCAAAGACATAAGTCTGTTGAAGCCCCTGCCTGGCCTCAACTACTTCCTGCAGGCGCTCTGGAAGACCCCTGCTATATGTCAGTTCTCAAAATGAAATCAGTTCTTAAAATCCCACCAAGAAAACCAGCTGGAAAGTATTACCCATCTCAGTTTGAAAGAGAATTGAATGAATACAATCTATCACATAGCTTTACTGAACAAAAACCACAGATGGCGCTATTTCTGTCCGTTTTTGCTCTGTTTTCTATGGGTGTGTATCTAGTGTATGTAGTACACTGCACCAAATACTAGCCCATAGAAGCAGTGCAAAATCAGACCGAAATAGCGCCGCCTGTTGACTCTCGGGAAGAGGTTGGCCTCCGTTTTTTCTTTTTTTACCGGAAATTCAGGATTATTGCCAAAAGATGGGGGTTAGCCACGATTTTTTTTAATTCGCCTTTCCCCGAAGATAGACCCAAAATAGTAAAACCAGCTCAGCTCTGAACGTAGTCGCCCGCCTCTATCCAGTTTAGGCCCGCAGCCCGCCTCTATCCAAAATAGGCCCGCGATTTGGGTTTTTTTCTCAAAGAAATACCCCGAACTGGAAACTGTCAGTTCCAAATTTGGGATTTACAAAATTATCTCTGTGATTCCTCCTGATTATGGAATGTCTTATTGTAAAAACCCCGTGGGATCACAAAAAATGAATGAGCTCGCGCGCAGAAATACAACCCATAGGGTGCGTTCGCGCGGTTACACCTGTTACCGCGAGTACGATGCGTGCGCATTACACTTGGGTGCAGGAGTATACTTCCTCTATTGAGAGTATGCTCTCGCTGACCCGAGAGTCGTACTCCACCCGTTCGAATGCTTAGGAATATAGTCGTAGCTCGCTTGAAGTTGAACGCACCCATAGAGGGAGTAGCGCTAGCTTGAGATT